GAGAACAGAGGAGATGTCAGTATTAGACACACAAACTTACCAAATCCATGTTCAATGTAATATCAGTGTATGAGGACATAAAAGCGCTGCAGGACATGAATATTTGTTCCATGGTGATGTTAATGGTGTGCCTCAGTTTAAATAAAAACTTGTAGATATACAATTACGAAAGAAAAATACTGTGTGTGTGTGTGTGTGTGTGTGTGAGGAACACACTTAGGGCCACAACTGATATCTATCTATATATATCTATAGATATAGATATAGATATAGATATATATATAGATATATATCTATAGATATATATATATAGATATATATATAGAGAGTATCTAGATATCTATATAGATATAATATCTAGATACTTATATAGATATATGATATCTAGTATATATATATATAAGTAGATATATGATATATCTATATATGTAAAAATCTACGATATATATATAGATATATATGTATATCTGTCTCATCTGTCTGTCCTGTTGATACTTCGTTGATACTGTCTGTCCTCCTGACCTCTCTGACTGTTGTAAATTAACCACTTTCTCTAATATTTAGTCCTAACTCGTCTTTTCTGTGAGCGTTTCCACAAGAAGAACGATCTCTCTCAGAGGCAGCATTGTTTCTAATGTTGCTACATGATAAAAATGTTATATTTACCTGCACTCAATGGCTCACTCAGACACCTGGTGTGGGCTTTGTAGAAATTGTGTATTATTACTGTATAAAACCTCTTAATTCAGTTAAATCGTTCAGATAATTTCATGGAAACAATGAGCACCAAAGTATCAAATGATTAAATTAATTATTTGTAATTGATAATGTTATTTGACAGCCTAATTATTTAAGTAATATTCATACTGATTTAAATAAACAATGTGTTAATATTTCCCATCTTCGCTGAGGAAGAGTTTAAAGGTCTGCCTGGTCCAAATAAAGGCAGGTTGAGTGCAGTGATTAAAGCAAATAAAAGCCTGGAACAATAATTGATGTTTTACTGTAATTTCCCTCACAATATGCAGTTCAAATTAGTTCAGCCACAACCAACTAGAGCACTGAAGTTTTAATGAGTCTGATTTATATCAGATGATGTCTGCAAACACAAAAAAGACGAGAGGATAGTCAGGAAATGTAACAACTGATCTGGTGGAAAGTCAAACATGGAAACATTTCATATCTCACAGTTATACAGAATAAGAAAAAGATAAATGAAAAGACAAACAAATATACAGTACAAGTGTGGACATATACACAAATACACACAACAATGTTCCTTTACCAAACAAATTTGGCAACGTAACAACAACGAATGTTAAATGTAATATAACTAATAACTAATAATAAATAACTGTAGCACAAGAAGCCATTAAACAGACAATCTTGGTACAGTGTTAAAACCAATTAAAAAGACTAATTGTATGAATTGATCCCCTGATCAGTCCAAGGTTGTTGGAAAGAAGAGCCTGCTGCGGACCCTGCAGACTCTGGGGTCAGTACCAGACTGGAAGAGCGACGACCGTCAGCAGGACAGCGACAGTGAGACAGAAGCGGCTCCATCGCACAGTAAGAAGAAGAAGAAGCGAAGGAAAAGGCGAAAGCAAGCGGAGACAACAGGAGAGCAGCAAGAGAATGGAGACTTGGATCGGACTGTTAAGGAGGAGAAACCTGTAGCAAAGAAGAGGAAGAAAGACAACAGATTTGGTGAGTTCATTCAGTTCATAATTTTAAATATTTAATGGATTCAGAAACAGAACAATGTTGACTGAGATAAAATTTTCTTTCTTTTTAAAGGGGCCCCGAAGGTAAAAAACACATCTGTGGGAGAGACAAAGGATGAAGAAGTGACAGAGTCTGTTAAAGTGAATATAATCAAGCCAGACAGCACAGATAAACTGAACAGACGACAGTGGAAAAACAAAATGAAGAACAAGAGGAATTGTAAAAATAAATACAGACAGGATAAGCCTGCGGAGGAAGTCAAGAAATCAGAATCTGCCGAGAAACAAAAACCAAAGGAGGACGTCAAAACAGATTCATATGGCAGCAATAACAACAATGAAAAAATCAGCCAGACAGCTGCTAAGAAAAATGAGCATAAACCACAGAAAAGGAAAAAGACTGAAGAGGACACCGACACATCCCATCCAACAGAAACACAGACACTCAGAGAAGAAAAGCAGCAGGTTGCAAAGGAGAAAAAAACAAAAGGTAGCAAAGTTGAAAAAGGTGCAACTGAATCTCCTGCTGATGGATCAAAACAGAAAGCAGATGACCCTGAAGTGGAGGCCACAGACGTTCAGCACCAGCTACCCCTGAAAAGACCGAAACCCGAGCTGAGCAGAGAACTGAGTCTGAAAAGAGAGAAGCTACGGAAAATGCTCCGCAGCCAGGAAACGGACCAAAGGGAGATTCCTGCAGAGACTAAAGACGAGCCGGCGGCACTGGAAGAGGTGAAACCGGACCGCTCTGCCTCCCTCAGGTCCCGCATGGAGCAGCGCTTGGAGTCGGCTCGTTTCCGCTTCATTAATGAAGTTCTGTACAGCACGACCAGCGGCGAGGCCAAGCGCATGTTCAAGCAGGATCCGCAGGCCTTCGGGATCTACCACAGAGGATACACGGCGCAGGTTCAGAGGTGGCCCGCCAATCCAGTGGATGACATCATCTCGTACATTCGTCTAAAGTGAGATATTACAGTTCATGTAATGTCCTTCATGTAACTCCGCACCTTTTGAGGAATGCTGTGAGGTAGAAATCGACCAATATGGGTTTATGAGGGTCGATACAGATACCGATAGTGATCAGGGAAACCGATATTTGGAACTGATGAACATTCGGCAAGTCTGAGGAACTTTACTTGAGTACTTCCATTTCCCTGTCTGTGGTACAGCAGTCTTCACTGTTGATAGGCTATAACTTGTGATGTGTAACCAATCAAAGTTGTGATGTGGCCCGGGCATTGAGAGGGACTCTAAAATAGACTACCCCATCCAAAGTAGCGCATTTTCAAATTAACATATTTTATCGGCAACTGGATTTAAAAAAATAATGATTCTGATAATCGGAATACTTTAACCAGTCTGTACCGAGTAGAAATCGGTACCTTAGTTAACAAAATCAAACTTAGATTTGTAATGTGAGCATGGAAGTTCATTCTTGACCTTCGAGAATAGTTTGCATAACAAAAAAGCTTCTTGGAGCTTTCAACTGCATTTCAGGGTCTGGAGCTGGCTCGGGAATCCTCAGGTGACCAAAGAGTAGAGCTTGAGTCCCATGATAACAAATATAAACCCCCAACCAACAAACTGAAATCAAAGGCTCACACTTCACATGATTTGAGTCGGCTCCAGTCACTGAAGAAGACTGTAGGATGCTGTTCGAAGCTACAAAATGCTGATAAGTGAGATTTGAATGTCTGAAATCAACACACTTATTTTTTTATAGTTGTTCAGGCCTTTTCTCATCTCCGTTGAGGTTTGTTGGACATTCAAACACAACACATTTCAAAGAATATTATAATTAACGAAACTCACAGTTAAGTGCAATGTGTGATGATGGAGTCTGGGTCGAATACATTTTCATAACAGCAAAAATGCTTTACGACTGGAAATTCATTTTCCATATTTCCTAAATTCGAATGCTTTCTAAGCTGCATATAGTTTCCCATTAAAGAAAGCCAGTGCTTTACAACCCAACCGAGACAAAGACAAGAGATTCTGTGTCCTTTAGCTCAGCATCTGCACGATTCAACACCTTCTGACTTATAAGTGTGGGTGCAAATAAGCTCAGATTATCTGCACTGTATGTGTTTAATTTATTCTTCATTTGGCTACTATGAGAAGGTGCTCTTAATGTCAGCAGTTTTAACTCTGCATTAGTCTATCTGTGTAGATCATAACTCGTCATTACTTTAAAGGTGACACGTTCCTTTCAGCTGAATATCGAGTGATTGTAAACCCACATTGTGTCTTCTATTTCAGACCTTCCTCTCTGGTGGTTGCAGACTTTGGTTGCGGTGACTGTAAAATAGCGCGCAGTGTGAAGAACAAAGTGCACAGCTTCGACCTGGCTGCTACCTGTGAGCTTGTGACAGTCTGCGACATGGCCAACGTGAGTCTGCCATTTTCCTGCGTGCTAATTCACATACAGTGTGTGTGATTGTCAGAAAGTAAAATACACACTGTGTCTGTGTGCAGGTCCCGCTTCGTGATGGCTCTGTGGACATCGCCGTGTTCTGCCTTTCTCTCATGGGAACCAACCTGGCTGATTTTCTAGCAGAGGCTAATCGTGTTTTAAAGAGGGGGTAAAACATGTCACACTGATTCAGTAAAGGTGTCGCTGTTTTGTATATGTAATATATGTGTGTATAACTGTTTTGTACAATTATTTTCGTTAAGGGGTGTTCTTAAAATCGCAGAAGTGGCGAGTAGGTTCGAGAACGTGCGGAGCTTCGTCACTGCGCTGGCAAGTCTGGGATTCAAGCTGGTGTCCAAGGTGAGGCGACAAATAAGATTACATCAGTGACCATGTTTACACTTTCCTATTCATGTACTACTTATAAATTATTGAACAATTTTAGCGCGTGCATTGTCGCAGCAGTTTTTTTACACTTTTTGTTTCCAGATGTACCATTTAAATTAATCATACAAAAATATACAACATGTATTTAGTACAGGTTTCATAACTTTTGCCTTTTTAAGAAGTCAGTTTGCTCAAAGAGGGAGTTAGTAGCTGACAGCTGCATCTTTCATTATTGATAGCGTGTGGCTATGGTGCTGTTGGCTGAAAACCTGAATGAAAAAGAATATTCAGTAAACTGGTTTGTTTTTGACAGCAGAGAGACTTGGTTAAATGTGTTAAAGGTAGATGAGCATAATTTCTGAACAGCTCAGTCTGAGGGAGAGTTTAAGCTCACAATTGCTGGTAGCAAAGTTACTACAGTTGTACATAAAACATCTCAGCCCAGAGACTGAACGTATGTAAAGAACGATTTGTTTTGCTTTTTTTCTTTAGGACACAGAGAACACTCATTTCTACTCCTTTGAACTACTGAAGACGGGAGATGCACCAGAAAATATAAAGAAATTTGGGCTGCAGTTGAAGCCTTGTGTCTACAAGAAAAGATAATGAGAGACGAGTTCACTCAAACAGTGTCTGTGTTTGGTTTACTGTTCAAAGCAGTAGTTGTATATTGTTCTTGGTGGCTACATGTTGAAGCCTCTGTAATCTTTTTTTTTTTTTCTTTTCCCAGATATGAGTTGAATTATGTGCTTTATTTGTACATGAATTGTCATGTAATACGGGGCTCACTGATCATGTGCCATCAATATCCAAGAGCAGGTTTCCCTTTCGATTGTCTCCAGTTTAAGATGATCAGTGACGTAAGACTCTGGACACTGTATACAGACAACCAAAAGTTATCTAAAATATTAAGATTCTTCAATTGAAAAATGCTAAAATGTCTGGAATAAGTGACAAATATATACATTTTTTAAATGAATCTGTGTTGTGACTATGATAAAGTATTCTTAGGGGCTCCAACACTCATTTGTATTTGTTTTTTGTTGGAAATTACAGAAGTTGTGTGGCACTAAACCTTCTACACGCTGAAAGATAGCTTTTTATTTGTATTTACTCCAAGACACTTTAAGAGGAAATAAATCTTTAAGGGGTTCTGAGTTCAATTTTTAAAGGATGACTTGAGTGCATAGACTTAACGGTGACATTCAGTTGTATGTTCAGTCATTTGCCACAAGAGGGTGTAACAACACCACAACCTAATGTGAGTGTCTGAGTCTGTGTGCATCTGGATGTATACTGTGTGAGGATTTATTTTTAGTGTTACTCCTGTTGTCACAGCAGATGGTCCTTCACTAATATAGTCAACCAAAGACATCCCAAGGGCAGATGGTGTGAAGTCACAGCCAAGTCTGTCAGTCATCTCTAAATTATGTGGAAATGTGTTTGTTGTAGTGCAGTCGTTCAGTAACAAGTGAAACAAAACAGCAAATTGAGCAAAACATTTATTGTATTGATTATTTTATTGACAAATACTGGAAAAATACAATGTGCATACAGTACAAAATTCAAGTAAGATTAAAAAGTGCAAAGGTAATGCATTTAAAATCATTAATGCCAATCAATCAAAAAACATATTTTAGAACATAAACAGAGGATCCTTTCACATCTAATGCTAAAAAAATACACACGGATTATAAACAATGCTGCAGTTCCAGTAAGCCTCATATCTAAATGTGCACAATGTAAAGCTGAATGAGAAATCGAAGCACCTTTTGTCTTCACACTGTGCTCTTGACATCAATGACTATGGAGTAACTGACCAGCTTAGAGTATTGCTGGCCGTCTTTTTCTGTCACCGGTGGCTTCTTCACCTCAGGAGAGCCGGGCTCCTGCATCAGAGTTGTCAAGGCCGAGAGAGACTCCGGCTTCTGGATCACAGAGGGAGCGCGCAGCAGCAAGAGAGGAGAAGGAAAAAGGTTAAAGACAGTATTGATTTTGGTTTCGTGAGCAAAGATTTTTTTTACAGAGGAATAAACTCTTACCTTATATTTTGTCCTGTTATTTACTTTGCTGTGAAACAAAACAAAATTGTATTATTCCTTTAATTTTCTTTTTAGGAACTTGCAAAATATCACCACTAGATGGCACTGTGACTTAATGTGACACTAAGTCAGTTCAAATGGTCAAGTTGCAGCTGTGAATGTGACAGGAATATCAATGGAGACGAGTGGTGACCCGAGTCCTCATCATTGATCTCTGATGTCACAGGCAGCAGATTACTTTGTACATTATGACCTCAGTGACATCAACTCAACAAAGATCTGCTGCCGTCAAAAAGTGTCCCCAGTATTGGAGTGGAGGGTGAAAGGGGTTAGTCCCAAAATAGCTTTTCTCCTGGGGAGTCATGTTTTCTTGTGTACACTGTGCGACTGACCTTCCCAAATTAGCCTGACAGCAGCCTCCCACTGGAGCGAGGGATAATAGGACCGAGGCTCTATCAACCAATGGCACCTTGACCAAATGTTCTGACCAGAGAGGAAGGCCTATTGAAATAGCTTCTGAACCACTATTGTGCCGCACGGTGCGGCTTTATTCACAGCAAGACCCGATCGGATCCTGACAAACATTCTTGAGAGAAGTTAGATTTGGCAGTCAATATGGAAATGTGCAAACTTCTGCAGGCAGAAACCATAAACAGTTCTAGGATGGTGACAGATATCCCACATCAGTCGTAAAAGACGAGTGACTCACTGATTTTTTCCAACAGCAATAAGATTAAGAGATGGATTTGTGGGGGGGTGGGTTTTCGCTGATGAATGGTAGCTCGAATTTCATTATACTAATAACTTCCGAAGATGTGGACTTTTTGAACCTTTTACCTTGGTTTGTGCAATGTGGCATTGGTGATAATGAGCCAACTAACAGCAGTCTACTGCAGAAAGTGCCAGAAGTAACACTGCTAAAAGCCAGAGCAGGAAACTGGAAAATAAATCTGTTGTTCTCACTGATAAAGGGAACATGTTCTACCTGTCTATGATATACGCGGTTCGCAGAGGCACCTGTCTGCTTTCAGCCACATTACTTCCTGTTTGTGAATAACATACATGATACTGGGGTTTTGGTGAGTAGGGTTAGCGAGCCACATCCTGTTTGTCTCAAACTGTATGGCACCAGCAGCATTGCCCTCATTTGCCCTCATTTGCCCGTCAACACATCACCTGCAGAGCTGCAACCTGTCACCTGTGGAGGCATTTAACTCACCAGCACACCCAGAGAGTGACGACGAGCATAAGCATAATGGCCGAGGCCGAGGAGATGCAGATCATGGTCACCAGTGCTGAAACACATGCATACACACAGCTGTCAATGCTACACATTTTAGAGTCTGATAACAATACCTCAGCATGCTGATATGATCAGAAGATATAGAGTAGAGAGTAAACAGGTCACTTCGCTTTATGAATGTAGATGGAAAATACAACATGGTTAAGTACTCACCAAACAGTTTGTCCTCGCTCATGATCTCCACTCGAATGTTGACTGTGGCCGTGTGGTGATAGAAGGATGCCTGGCAGGTGTACAGGCCTTCGTCCAGCTCTGTGAGTGCTGACTGGAAGACCATTGCAAGTCCTTCCATTTGGACAAATGAGCCATCACTCCTGAAACACAAGCAACTTTTAACCTAAGAGAAGGCTGGAAGTATTTTTATATTCTTCTTATTGTGAACAAATCTCTTGAAAAGACCAAAACCAACAATGTGTCACTTGATTCCAAGCCCATCTGTTCATCTATCCAAAGGCACAAATCATCAAAATAGCACAAAAATGATGGAAGTTTCATTTGTTTTAGCTAATGGTATGTAACAGGAGTAAATGTGCATTTGTTTGGGGCTATTTTCAGCTGCAGATTAATACACATTTGGTGCTCTAGTGAGTATTTACTGGAGCAGGATGTGTGCCTGAGATGGTCGAAAATAGCCTACAGTGCTCATGTTTTAAAAGTAGAACTATGGTACAGAGAAAGGGTTTGGATTCACAGACAATACTTCATTGTTATTTATTGGTCTTTCCTGGGATTTGTTGACAATAAGAAAAATATAGTAATAATCCAAATTTACTTTAATGTAAGACTGACATCCATGTCGTGGAAACAATCCAATTTACATTTGCATTACATTACAAGCGTATTGGCTTCTTTAAATGGGGAGAACAATGCATTTGTACAGTACACTGTGTCTGCAGGTGCTTCCTCCCAATATTTTGGTGGTAGATAATAGAGGATACACCACCTTCTACAGTTGAGGTTGTACTCTGGCATGTTGCCTTCGACTCGGAGCAGTATTTTCTGGTTGCGATGATTTTCCTGGAGAGCAAGCCTGTGTGTGATGGGTTCATCACTGTAGCGGCTTTGCAGAGGAGTTGTGTGGTTTAGGACTCTCACAGAGGAGATGTCTGCAGAAAAAGACAGTTGAACCTTGAAGATGAACCAATGCATTCATGTGAATTTTGACATTTGGAATAACTGAAGTGTACAGGTGTTCATAGGGGTATTGTTTCTGTTAAACTCACAGTATCTGGGGATGTGAATCGTCTTCTTCTCGGTTGCTCCATGTTCGAAATGATATACACAGGTGAGGTCCTGCCCCTCATGAAGGGCCAGAGGAAACTGATAAGTCAGCCTGGCTTTCAGGACTTTGCCTTCATACTCTGACTGCAGGGATGTTTGGCTTTTAGCATTTTCGGGAAGAACCCAGGCAAGGTTCCGCCCGACACCCTCCCCTCTGCATTCGCACACTGCCAGCCAGAGGGGAGAGCCGTGCTGTCTTTCCACAGACACACTCAGCAGAGGGGCTTCTGAAAAAGAAAACAAGGGGATGAGCAGCTGTGTGAGTTTGTGTGTGTGTCACAGAGAGAAATATCTCAAAGAAAGAAATAGCGTACTGTGCACAAGAATGTGTATTGTTCTTTCTTCTGGTGCCTCCAGGCTCGGATGCTCCACCATGCAGGTCAAATTCTGACCAGAATACAAAGAAGACAAGAGGTGCACAGAACTACGGGCCGATACCAGACCATCAGCCCGGACTTCTGGAGTCTCTGACACATAACTGATGCTGTTGTCGTTGCTTTCAACGTGCCAGGTTATGGTTGCTGCGGGGGCAACACTTTCCACAGAGCAGTCCACTTTTGTGTACTTGTGACCGTCTTTCCACTCATTGCTGGAGTCGATGGTAATATGTGGGGGAGCTGCGTGAGAAAGAGAAGTTAAACCACAGGAAGTGAGAAATTTCTTTAGAGAAAAATATTAAATCTATAGTGAGCTTACACGGCCAAATATGTCCGCTACTCAGACAAAATTATCCATCGCCTGATTTGTTGAACATACCGCAACGAGGGAGTGTTACGCTTCTGTTCTCTGGCTCTTCAAATGCAGGGTGATTTATCACACACTCTGCAGTGAGCTCCCAAGGCAAGCAGGCAGGGAGGAGTAAAACTCCCTTGACAGAGTGGCTTCCATTATGAGAAGTGAAATTGAACCAATGGACTCCAGACACACCCTCTGGTAGAAGCCAGGATATGTTGGCTACAGGATCAGCATCAGCTGCTGAGCACTCAATCACCCTGCGTCCATCTTCGGTCTGCAAATCAACTCGTATTGTGGGAGGAACTGAGTGGAAGGGTGAGGACAGAATGTTCCACATCAATATTTCATATAATGCAGAAAATTCAAAAATGTATTCATGAAAGTCTTTTAAGAAATATATGCAAGGGGTTCCACCTACCAGGCTGTATAACTTGAGGTTTAACTGTGACATTAAACCTCAGTGTTGCTTGGAGATGGTGATATGAAACCAAACACTCATACAGGCCAGCATGTTGATGCCCCACAGGACCCTGAACTGTGAGGCTTCTGCCAACCAGCTCCACACCCTCAGGCAAGGGTCCATCATCTCTGAAGCATAAGCAAAGAGTAATTCATGCTTCAGTTTACTAAAATTCAGTTATATTACAGTTGAATGTTGAATAAATTATTATTTGATTCAGGAAACATGTCTGAATCTGGTTCCTGCAGTCTGCCACTTGTGGTTTGGTGCCACCGAATGTGTTACCACATCCTCCACAAGATATGTAGGATGTAGGTTGTTTCAGTCTATATGTACACGGGGACAAAAAGTGATAACAATATCAACTGTTTCTAAGTATTTTCCAACGTATTATTCTTTGTTTTTTTCCATGTGAAAGAGAAAAAAAAAGAGAAATGCAAAACCAAAAAGAAGAAAAATACATTTAGAAGTTACCAGATTTTACATCAGGCTCATCTCTACACCAACCATGTATGAAGTGACACGAACAATGACACAAAGGATATCGCTGCATAAAGTGATAAAAAGTTGATTATTGATCAAATCACTGCACATCAGGACATGCTGTCTTAAAGTGCTGTGCCAGAGATTTAGTGTCACACTTCCAAAACTAACAAAAGGCCACTAAAAGTCCCTAGAATGGGTCAAACTCCCAAAATGCTGGATCGATCATCCTACATTTCCCATCATGCAGCTCAACAGCATCTTTTCCTATGTCTTTGACACACTTTTTCATACTCTAAGCTCCTTCAGATCAACAGAAGAGTTACGGTTCTCACAGGCTGAGTAGTACTCTCCATGAAAACTGAACTTTATGTGTACATTTCTCCTTTATATTTCTCACGTTTTGCAGGTAACATTGTAACGTGGCACATTCCCAGTGATCGGCAATCTGATGACGGTGTCAGTCTGTCCTTCCTGCAGCTCTGAATATTCAGAGTCTTGGAAGTCACCACCGTTGCTTCCATCCTCTGAGTTCAACAGCTGACCTCCTGACAAATCTGCAGAATAGAAAGAAAGCACATCTCTGTTTTCTGCAACTTCTTCCTCACAAGCATCATTTTTTTTCCGCATGTGAAATACTCACAAAAAGACGGCAGTGTGATGACTTGTGACACTTTCTGTGTAAATTTGGGGTGGTCAAACACGCAGGTGACATTGTGCCCCTCATAAACTAATGCAGGGAGGAAGACTGAGCTTGTTTGTATGTCTGAGTCTGTGTTGTTCTCTTTCCGCAGCTCTTCATCGGTGTTCAAAGCCAAGGACATGTCAGTGGCAGGTCTCCCTCCAGACGAAATGCAAGAGACCACCCAGAACTCACTTCCTCCTTGTTGTATCATCTCTGCTTTAATGGTCACATTTGGCCTCGCTGCAGAGCAGGAAGAAAGGCGAGAAGAGTTATTCTTTCTCAAGGTCTGATGTTTTTTCCAGCAAATTAAAAAGTCAGATAGCAAGTTGAAGCTCTGGGTGTTTTTGTTAAATAGGAAGCCGTGGCCGGATGAGCAGAATGTTAGCTAAACACAGGCCGTGAGGGGCTTCTGCTTGGGTTTTGGAGAGTGCTGACTTGGGCTTATCACCTGTCCCATCTGTTGGCCGGGCTGCAGCTGAGAGCAGATGTCTGGCCCAGCTGCTGTCCAACCAATGCTGAGAGAACCACAGGCTTTAATATAGGGAATCAGCAGAGATCAGAGTCTATTATCAAATACATAAAAGTGGTAGTGTCATAATAGCCAGCCATCCCTAATGAGTAAGAGAAGTAAGCTAACACCTGATAATAGCTCGACTGCTGGGGAAAGTATGTACGATTAAAGTGAGTTAAAGCACTTTGGCTTTAAAAATTCCATCTGTTAACACCTACAGTTAGTGCAGATTTAACCACAGCAGTTTGGAAATTAACCCCAAGCTGCAATACTTCACCGGAGTGTGAATGTATCAAGTAGCTACTCACTGGCTGGCCTGGCTCATGCTAATGGAATCGTCACCATAAATTCTGCTGTATGAACATTTACTGCATCCATGCAGAGATTTAAAGTGTGGATGCCATTTCAAAAATATAGTCAAACAAACGAGGTAAACTAATTAATTTACTACAAAAAGCTTAACACGTATGAACAGATTCAAAAGCAAGTCAGCCAGTGAGTAGCTGTGACCACCAGGGGGCATTTTAAGAACAATTTAAAACGGAAATGTAAATTTTTGAAAGTAAATGTAATCTGTGTTAGTATAGTGGTACAATCAGAGCATTAATAGGTTGAAGGCCGAAGTGAAAGGGTTTTATCGATCAGCATTATGCTGCACCGTAGAAGAGTATTTACTGGGTTTATTTAGTCTTGTGTTTGCTAGTGGCTGTGCATGTACCATGAGAGTCAGAGCCCACATGTGAGGTTGAACATTGCTGAGTCAGTTTCAGTTCCTTCAATACTGAGGTGACAACGAAGCCAAATTGTGTTGGTGTTTGTATCATTTTTAACAGCCTGGGTTGTATGTGCTAATGTTTTGCTTAATAGTTTTACGGTCGTGTTCCACTTAAAGATGTATTTAAATGAATTGTCATCTAGAGAATAATTATGACACATAAAGAAAAATAAATCTGTAAATGTATTTAAATATTGCATTTTAAATCTGCATTATCAGATTTTTTTGCCTTTTGGGGGCAGTAGAAAGTCAGCAAACAGCTGCTTATTTACACATTCAGCATATACAGAGCAACATTATCATTTATTTGGAATCATGTTTCCTCCAATATTCACTCTCATTTTGCTCTTGAGGGACATGTATTTGCTTTTTAGCCGCTAAACGCTACACTATGTTCACCAGGTAGTTGCTAACTTTGTCTGTCTGCTGTTTGGTGCTGTGCGGGTTGCGTGCAGTGGATTAATCAGAGCTGTTCTGCTTAAAACAGCTGCCTGCTGCGACTGAAAAACGCACTGGTAAGAGTAAATCAAAACAGAAAGGTGTGGGCTTGAAAAACAAAAAAACAGCTAAAAATACCCTAAAATGCTCTCTAGAACTGAGTGGAACTGCAGAGTCAGGCCATAATTCTCAGAGGACTGGTCTCTTTTTTATATAGATGTAGTCTTTTGATCCAGAATGAAAATATTGAGAAGCTTTAATGTTGTAAATTAAGCTGATAAAAGTCAAGGGAACAAGATTTTTTGACTAAATATAGTGAGTGTGCTGGATGTCTATAGTTCCTTCTCACTCAAGATTCTTTGTTTCTTTGCACCTATCATCAATACATTGGTTGAAGTTGAATTTCGTAAGAAAAGGGTTTTTACCACTCTTTATACATGAATCAAATTATTTTCATAAAAACAAAACTGAACTGGAGAAATGCTGTAACCAGACTGCATGCTGCACTGTGGAATGATATTGTTACTAAGTAGTTACTGAGGTTGTTGCTGCATTATGATGCTCCATATGCTCGACACCAGTGAAAGAGTGCATTCCCACATGAATGCATTGCACTGCGCAATGTGATTTATGGTCTGTCACTGTGTATGTGGAGCAGAGTGAGAAGGAACAGCCAGCATGAAAAATCAGCAGGAGAAACTTATCGTGTTGTGAGATGCTGAGTCATGATGCATGATTACAAAATTCTGACTGGTGATGCAATACAATATGTCACCTCTTGGCGACACAGATGTAAAACAAAAACCACCAACAACACGAACGTGCTCAGCTGTGAGTGTGAGCTTACTGTACGTTTCCACCCTGACTGTGGTGAGTTTGGGGTTTAGGAGGGTCGGGTGTTTGATCACGCAGGTCACGCTGTCCTCATCCAGCAGCTGGGTGGGGAAGCGGAGGATACTGCTCAGGGTGGAGGTGCCGTTTGAGTGAACAGTATCAGTCACGTTCACAGTAAAAGGGTAATCTGAAGGAGGAAGGCCGTTGACTAGCCAGCTGATCTGAGGCGGAGGCCTGCCGTCGACGGCAGAGCACCACACCGACTGGTAGTGAGAGCCGTTTAGGGTCTCTGCATTCACCTGGATCTGGATATCTGGCCGAGCTGTGAGTGGAGGAACAAGGACACATGTCCTTAAATGATGTAGGCATGTCTTAGGTCAAACAAGTAAAATCAGACTGGTGTTGCAACATTGTGACCTTTTAGATTTAGACATTTTTATCTTGGATTGCGGCAACATTATTGGCTTGACTTACCTACTACAGTGAGGAATACGCTGTCAGAATTATAATCGGCATCTGATTCAAACTCACATATGTATTCTCCTTCTAAATCAACACTTGACACATTCATCTTAACTGTGAGGTTGGTGATAGAGTCTGGGACTGAGAAGCCATTGCGGCCAAGTAATGGCTGGTCACCATTAAACCCTGCCAGTCCCACAGATTTACGCTTAGCGTTAATCCGGCGTCTCCACTTGGCACTCAAGATCTCACTCTTGCCCAGATATCTACAGGGCAGGTACACATCCTCTCCCAGGACTCCTGTGATGTTGTTTGTGATCTCCAGCACTCCATCTGAGACACAAAAATCACAATGACAATGAGAGGTCGTAAAGTCACCTGAACAGTCCTAAAATTGCAAAAACAAACAAAGCAGAAATGCGTTAAGGGGGAAAATGCGATTGTTTTTCTCCCTGAGAGGACGGACAGACGCTGATAGATGTCCACTGTTGTGCCTATGAAAGGGGTTTCTGCACATCCCATTGTGTTTCACTAGTTAAGTGAAACTGTGATGGATGAGGCAGACTAACCGGGTCAGTGGTTATGAGGTTCTCAGTCATGTTATCATAATTAGAATGTGCCAATGATGAATCAATATAAACAAGACGAAGAGCCTACAGCTAGTTGTGCTTAAATTAAATGCTAATGTCAAAATGAAAATAAAAAAACATATAAAAGAGATGTTACCTAAGTAATTGATTTTTTTTTTTTTTCATTTTCCTTCATTTGGTATGTAAACCAAGGAACTGTATTGGACAAATTCAAATTTTAACCTGATGGTGGCGCTAAATGAAAAGTCAGGTCAAGTTATTAGAATTCCTTCTGAGGGCAACAGGAATATTTAAACTACATTTGAGAAATTTCCCTCAACAAATGAATCACAAAGAGGAGAAGGAAGGGCATGACCAAAGTCATTAGGTTACATCCTCTGGGTACCATGAATATGTGTTTTCCACCAATGTATCTAGTAGAAGTTGAGATAGTTCACTGCACTAGATGACAAGTCAGGGGATAACCAAAGTCATTTGGAATCGTCCTCTGGGATGAATGCCTGAACAAAATTTCATGGCAATCCATCTGATAGTTATTGAGATATTTCAGTCTGGACCAAGGTGGTGGACTGACCCACACTGCCATTGTAAAGCCACATGGCTAAAAACACATGGAGCTGCAACCCAAACAACTTTATGAAAGTTAAAGATGAAGTAGCTGTCTAATACTCAAAAGGAGTGGACACTGAAATTAGACTTTTTGCATACAGTGACACTTGACAAATGTGGCCTTGTCCCCTCAGTGTATATTTAATAGAAGACTCCATTATGTTAATGAAATGAAAACAGTCCAGAAGTTACGCCCTGATCTATACCCAGACACCGACGACCTCTTCCTTCCACACTTGAGAAATCAGCCATGATTAGGGGAGGTTTCAGAGGAAAGGACATTTAATAGAAGCTGACAGGTTTTAGCACTTGCAGAAAGGACAGTGTGCAGACTCCAATGCATACCAAGTCCTTTTTAACCTGCTTCCTCTGCTGACTTTATCAAAGTGCACTTGAGGACACAGTTTGCTCTATTGGCCAGGTGAAGCCAAGATCTTTTTATTCAGCTTTAGATACATGATGAGTGAAATGATGGCAATTTGCTGCTGCATTGCTTCATGGAAAACTATTGAACCCACAGCCAGCTGCTGCAGTCTGAACCAAACTGTTTGCATCAAACACTGTTAGAGATGGAATGCTGTTGGTCTTACTATACATCACAACAAATGGAAACAATGTGGAGACTCCAAAGCCTTTTAAGAGGAAAGGACACAGAGGGAGAGAAATAAATATGCTGTACAGGTTCAATTATGCCTTGTGGGTTCATAATTCATTTGCCCTTGCAGGTTATTGCCAAAATAAATGTCAGCCAAGCATGGAAAAGGCACACCTTAAGGATACAAACTCAGTAATAACTGAGAAAGAAATCAGGTATTCATGCACTGCATCATATTTCCTGAGCCCCAGGGGCTTCTTTTTCTCACCAAACAGCAACCATTCACCCGTGGTATACACAGCAACTCTTTCCTTTGCAGGCTGGGGATGTGGTAAACAAATAAGACTTTTGACTCTAAAAAACAAAGCTTTTTCACACGTTCAAACTTTCATCTCCAGCTGGAAGTCTCAGTGACTCTAAAAAACAAAGACTTCAAACTGAAAACTATACAGTAAGATCTGTCAATAAGTGTAGCATGCAGAGGGTTTTCCCCTTACACAAGGAAAAAAAACCTTAACGACCTTCATATATTAACTTTAAAAGGCTGTAAAGAATCTAATGTGGTGATGAACTGATCAATAACAATGAACTGCCAGAGTGACAATACCAACATGTCATCAGCAATATACTGCAGAAATAGTTATTATTTAGTGCATTCAAGATGCATCCAGCATGTGGCTTTGTGCATTTATAATTGGACTAATTACTTAGGAAAACCATAGCAGCCCTGTTTAGTGTGAATGCCACAGGTTAAACAAGACCTTAAGGGCCAGTAAAATAAGCCCATAAACAGCTGACAGTCACAGACGGATTGTAACCCTGCAGACTTACCCAGACTTTCCAAGCAGTGAGCAACATTTAGGACAAGACCCAAAATCAGCAGCCCTGAGCATCCCATGATTGTGTCATTGAGTGAAATAGAGTTGGACTGACTGTATGGCAGGCATAAAAGGGTATTTAAAGTGTGTATTCTGTGGTTAAGCTTATGGTTAGGTATACACCCATACAGCTGACACTGACGTCTGTGCCTGTGTCTTTGTGCGTACTGCCACTCATACCCCCACCTTATGGATGTGTACACACACACGTGCACGTAGCTGTGTGTAAAACCGCTTCTCCCTTTTGTTTTCTGAAACTATACCAGTGCTCCTGTGCACAGTATCAGAGAGGGTGCACATTTCAGTATCTGCTCTCTGATTCTGTTTCACATGCACTATGTGTCTGTTCAGTTACTCAGCCACCTCATATAGCACAACGCTTTGGGAAGTGGTAAAGCCATGCATCATTCATACCATCCTGTCCCTGCTGGGGCACTCAGAGACGGCCTGTCTGCGAGACAGCTCGCTGCTCATGCCCTGCAGTTTGGGAAATCACTCACTGCTGGGTATTGTTTTATGGCATAATGCTCCTCTAATTCACTTTGAGACTGTGTTTTTTTCAGTTAGAATTATTTGCTGAGCACAATTTGTCACCCTGCTAAGAAAACTGCAAATGTAGGTGAGAAAAGTAAAGACATTTTGCAGGGACTCAGCATTGCACAGCATTTCAGGACAGTCTATGTGCTATCTTTTATTTCCTGTTGAAGTTGATCAACTTTAGTGTTGAGTCACCAAAGCCACAGTATAGGATGACAGTGAATTAAATGACCTGACCAAAAAGAAACTCAAAATCACATTTTGATTGTGTGTGGTTTGTAACGGCTTTTTGAATCGTAGTTATGAAACTGGCACTGGTAGTGAGACTTTTTGTATCCTGTGAAAGTGGGTTTTACAACAAAGAAAAATACTTGTGTCATCCTCTTTTGCTCTCTACTACTACACACATTCTCACACACACAACAGCAGCAGGGCTTGCACTACACAAACATGCCTTAAACAGCCTCCAGTGCCTTTTTATCCACACATCTCCTGTATGGTGCTGAATTTAAAGCCTCAGTCGGGTCTTTCTTTGCATGGTAAGAGGCTAAGGCCCTTAAATAGACCTTAGTTCAGGAGTTAGACACCAGAATCAAGAGCAGAGCCTACCTTTTTTTGTTCACATTGAAATTCAGATGTTTATCCCTTAAAAGGTAGTTATTTCATGCACATCTCACCTTAACCTCCAGTTGAAAGTCTTCAAAGGTTTTTTTTTTAGAAAATAGTCATCCAAGACTTAATCAAGCCAAGTATCATATCACGGTTCCTTGTTGAGTTTCTTTTATTTTGTTATTGAGTTATTTTGTTTAATAAGACAGATTAAGAAGCAGATGAAAGAACGCAAATTAGTATTTAAATTACAAATAACCGAAATCAGCTTCTTAACAGCACATATAAATGGGAGAGGTTTTGTCGGCATCCTCAAAGCGAGAGATTAAAACTCTTATTATTTCCAGTCTTGCTTCCTGACTTGTTTTTGACTGTAAGAAGATTTTATCTCCGGAAGGTAAAACACAGTTCAGTCTATTATCAGAAAATTACACGCAACATTTGATTTGGAGGGCAAACACTTGACACAGAGTCAGGTTTATCTCTTAAAACCCGGTGTAATCACATGAATGTGGAGCTGGTGGCCATTTTTCCAGCTAATTAAATTACCTGAAGTGGTTATTCCCTGAAGGTAGGAGGTGGAGAGGAGTTTGGAGAAGGAGTCTGGAAACCTTCAGTCTTTTCCGGGTATGCCCTACTGTCTGTGAGCTAATGCATTTTACTGACAATGAATTGTTAACATTTCACAGACAAGGTACTTATAGATTTCACAGATGTCCAACTGGCATCCCTTTCACCTTGCTGGCTTTCTCTTTATCATTTTCTCAATGGACACACATGCGGAAATTCAGTCGGAAAAAAAAAGGTTGGTGATCAGCCAGTAATAATGTGTGTGCAGTAAAGCACCAGCAAACCTGGATGCGAAAGGCTGTGTGGTAACCTACTTAACTCTGTGGAGCCTTATCATCACTTTCTTCAGAGGAGGAAAATCACTGATCATCTCTTCCTGCTGTTATTCATTTACAGCTGAATTATCACCAAACCCTGCAGCCTTCCCACACACACTCACCAACACACACGCAAGGGCCCTTGAACAGATTCCACACTGACACGAAACTTGATTGATATGCCACTATCAATCTGAGTCACATACCAGTATTGGCCTGTGACACTGCTGGCATTCATGTACAAAGAGAAATCAAGAAAGTAGATGTATCAGTACCATCAGCACGCACCTCTCTCTGGGATTACATACTGTATCTTGAAGAACAATCTAATACCACTCACGTTTGAAAAAGGCACGTGTGGTCTGCGCCACAGAGACAGGACAGAGAGTCTGGTTGGAAAGGCCTCTTATTTCACTGGCCTTGTCTGGAAAGCAAATTGGAATAAAGGAAAAAGATTGGTCCAGTGTGTAACTTTTTAGCAGGATCTGATGGCAGAAATGGAATATAAT